TTTTCATGAAATTAATGGCACAAGAGCTGACCTCTGTTTCCATACCATCAGCCAAAAGCACTTTGTTGGGAAGTGGAGTTGACAGCAGCTATGTGACCAACATAATGTGCAGCCTTGTGATTCCTTCTCACACAGTGGTACTCCGTTGTCTACGTCGTAAGGAAGAAAGACGGGTGACCCAGACCGATGCTGAAACCCCGTACCTCTGGTGCCTCTCGGTTCTGAGTCGGACGCTCAACCGCCCTCCGAACCACCTCCGTCGGAAGCAACGTTCGATAAATTCCTTGCTCAGGGGAACTCATGGTTGAGACAGTGATTGACAACGACAATGAGGAACCATTTTTCTTTTGAAGACCCAACGACCTGCCAGACAGGCTTTCATTCACCGCACACAAACTGAAGCTGCTCCGTACATTTTGCTCCGCACTGGGCCAGGTCACAGACCTTGCCGCTTAGCGACTGCCGGCGGGGTATTCGAGGTTGTCCAGTTTGCGCATGTGGTCACTTGTGGTCCATGTCTCATATTGTTAACTACCGACTGGCCTGTGACTCGATTGGTAGGAAGTGTCACAATTCCGACCGAACTCGCTTTGTGATGATGCTGTAAACCGGGTTGATTGTTCTTGTTGTTGTTGCATTCGATTGACAAACAAATCTTGTGTATCTGATCTGCTCCTTGGATGGCCCAGGACATGACACAGCGAGATGAGTTGCGCTTCCTATTGACGGTCGAAGAACGGCTGTATACAACCCTCCTACCGTAGGACTCGCCGGAAATTCAAGCTCACGTCTTGTCATGGAAAACGGGCAATGACATAAGTACGTGATTGCGTAGAACAGCGACCGATGACTGATTGTAAGCTTGCCCGTTACTGCGCTACCTGGTGAAAGGTAACAGGGAATAACCGATTTCTATTTATTCGTGCACTTAATGCAGATTTGTCTAGAAGATCCGGATGGTGGCAGACTTAGTACACATCATATTTACATATTTCACAGCACGGAGCATGTCTTCAACTTTTTTATTGCACAATCGATTACGCAGCCATCGGGTTGATCATGTTGAAAACTAACGAACAGATTCACCCCTTGGAATCGATGAAAGCCGGTTCCGGTTCATAGTCTGTAGCACGTTCACCTGTGTGAGTCTGCGTCGTTTCATGAGGACCTAAACATAGATCCTCTTCTCGATCCTCCAGGCGACTAGAAGCAAGAAGACGGTGCTTACGCCGCTTCAGTGGGGTATTAAAAGAGAAAAGACTCATTTACCTTGGCGGCGGTATCGATAACTAGCAGTATGCTAGTGAGTCCATAAGATCGCGTTTTATTTTCATGTCTAAACAT